CGCCGGCGGCAGGCCCCTGGCGGGGTCAGGGAGGCGTTACATGTTGTAGCTGCCCAGTCTCCCTTTCACTCTGACTGCGGGCTCGGTTGTGCACTGCCCGGCGCCCAGCGAGGTCAGGGTTGCCAGATGCTTTCACAAAAACCCCCGAACATGGCAGGAAAAAAATTGATTGAGGAAAAAAAAAAGTGGGGGTCTTGAGAAAGAGAAAAAAAAAACCCAAACCAACATACCAGATGTCTGGGCGAAAACCGGACACCTGGCAACCCTAAGTGAGGGCTGCGCTTCCCCGTGCGACGCACCACAGCTCTGAGCAGGGAGCAATTGACACCGTAGCCTCACGGCCAAGGTGGCTCAGGCCACAGGTGCCAGGTCGGCGATCAGGAGACACCAGGAAGAGTCAAAGCAGACGCCACTTGCTCCCTGGCCTGCATCCCCCCAGGGCCTGATGTGCTGGGCTCCTCCCCAGAACTGCCCGCGGGCGCGGGGCTGGGACACATTGCGACACACCAGCCTTTGGTGCCGTGGCTGGCAGGGTTTCCCTCGGGAACGCAGCAGGGGAACCTTGCTGGGGAGGAAAGCCACCCTCATGCCACAGCACTCACCCTTTGGGGTCTGCTCCCCCGCATGCCCTGGCCCGTACCTTGGCATTGGGCGCTGCCATCGCTCTGAGAAGTCTTCAAGGGACGGCGCGAAGCTATGGCATGACCCGGTGAGGTGCCTCAACACCCTGAGCCGAGCTCCCGGGCAGCCAGGGCTTATATAGGGCTGGGCCACCCTGAAACTCATTCCCTGCCCCCCCACAACAGTGCTGCCAAAAATAGCCCCGGCAGCCGTGGGGCCGGGGCTGCAGGAAGGGCCTGTCTCTGGGCGACACGCGCCCATTGTTCCCCGTTGCTTGGAGACGGGCCAGGCCCGTTCCCTCATTTGTGACTCCCCATTATGCCCCGGCCGCCTGGTGGCCGTGCTGGCTGGAGACAGGCCGCGTACCCTGGCGCTAATGAGCCTGTAATTTCCTAAGGAATCCCGGCAGCCGTGGGGCCGGGGCTGCAGGAAGGGCCTGTCTCTGGGCGACACGCGCCCATTGTTCCCCGTTGCTTGGAGACGGGCCAGGCCCGTTCCCTCATTTGTGACTCCCCATTATGCCCCGGCCGCCTGGTGGCCGTGCTGGCTGGAGACAGGCCGCGTACCCTGGCGCTAATGAGCCTGTAATTTCCTAAGGAATCCGCCAGCCGGAAGGTCGGCGGTTGGGAAGGGAGGGGAGACAATAGCAGCCCCCAGGCAGGGAGGGGGGAGACTGGGCCCCATTAGGCTAATTACCGCGTCCCGACAAAGGGTGACCAACAGCCAAGCTGCACCCGTCAGAGGCGCTGGCGTGGCCCTGTGCGCTCGTGGCACGGTGCGCCTCCGGATCCCCAGGCCCTGCCTGCGGGAGAATTCCCCCACTAGAGGGGCTGGAACAGTTTTTATAGTGGGGGCACCGGTGAGGGCAAGAAAGCAGGGAGTTGGGTTATTACTCCTCCAGCCAGGGCCTCCAGGGCTCCCTGCTGAGCCCCGGGGCCCCGTGGGGCTCTCTGAGCTGCTGCTGCCCCAGGGCCCCAGGAACTGCCCCACTGCCGCCCCCAGGCTAGCATCTGTCCCCAGCCATACGCACGGCTCTGCAAGCTGGATCGCCCCCGGGAGCAGCATGGGGGTGGCCCCCGGGACAGGCCGTCGGTCCCACGGCACAGGGCAAACTCCGCAGCCCCCTTTGCAGCAGGGCCACGGCAGGCTGGCGAGGGCTCCCTGCAGCTCCTGCCTCAGCCAGGAGGGGTCAGTAGCGTGACACAAGGTGCCTTCTGCCCCTGGGGCTTACACGGCTCCCCCAACCCTGCCCAGCCATAGGCCACTGCTCAGAGGTGGCAGAAGCACCCCCAGCCCGTGGCCATGCCAGAACGGCCCCGTGGCCACAGCCCAGGGGTGAAACGTGCCGTTCTCATGGCCTGCCAGGCCTGGGGGTGCGTGTGACTTCAGTCTGGCTGGGCCTATCAGCAGCATCCCAGGCAGCCTGGGCCCATGGCAGCCACCCAGTGCTCTCATGGGGACCAAGACCCCCCCCCTCCCGGAAGCCAGGACTCTCCCCAGCACCTCTAAGGGCAGGAACAGCAGCGTGGCACATAGCTGACTACTTCCGCTAGCCCTAAGCTGCCCCCTACATCCCACAGCACTACAGGCAGCACGGGCTGGAGACCTCCAGCTGACATGGGGCTGATGGGGGTGGGGGCTGACTCTCCATACAGCACCCAGGCTACCAGGAGCAGGGGCTGGCATTGTGAGAAATGAGCCCAGATGCACCGAGCCCTGAAGGGGACTGAGCAGGGGGCAGAGCCATGCCCTGTGGGTCAGTGACGCAGAGCCACCCCAGCAACCCAGCCCCCCGGGGGGAGAGGCTGTCAGTGCCGTCACTGTGGGGGCAGCCCTGGCTGAAAACCCCCAGATACAGGCCAAGGCCCCATGGCTGCGTGTGGGGAGCTGACGTGGGCCCGGCCTGGACTGCACACAGGTGGGGTGGGGGGGATAAAGCACACAGCTGACACGGGCCCGAGGTCCGTAGGGAGCCCTGCTCCCGGGGAGGGGGCCGCGTTTCTGGGCCTCCCCCTCCCGGGCCGGGATCCGGGGTGCAGCAGCAGCCCGGCAAAGCTAGGCCAGGAGGCGTTTTCCTCAACTCTAGGGTGTGAGAGCTTCCCCAGCCCCATCCGCCCCGCTGCCAGGGGAGCTTTCCCCATGGGCCCAGAGGGAGGACAGGATCTCCATCCCAGAAAGCCAAGGGCACGTGGCTATGGGCCAGTCACCACGGCAACGGGCCAGGGTCGGGGGACAGTAATGTGGCCAAAGCGGCAGGCGTCCTGGCCAGGAATGGCGCAAGAGTAGGGCACGTTACCGCTGCCTCCCCTGCAGGCTGGGAGCCCAGGCCAGCCCAGCGTCACAGCAGCAAAAGTCTGCACACCCCCCACCCCCATCCCGCTCCTTCCCTGGGCCTGGTGTCCCTGGGCCCATGCAGTCACCATGGGAGCAGCACAGTGCCCCCCACCCAGGAACCCCC